GGGAGGATTGCAGTGTGACCGTTCCCCCTGGGGGATAATTTCTTGTTTTCTGTCTTTCTGTTTCTCTCTGCCATTTCTCTGGCAAGCACATGTGCCTTATAGCAAATATCTCTCTCTTAAAAGAAAAATTAAGGCAAAATAGAGGCATTTTCCCACCAGACAAACAAAATACCAGTAGAACTAGCCTCCAGCAGACAGTTTGAGTCCTGGACCCTGTGACTTAAAACTCACGCCAGGCATGTGTGTATGCTGCCCAAGATCCCAAGAGGAGAATGGAGGAGAAGGGATTGCGGCATGGCCATCCCCCCAGGGGGTGATTTCTCACTTTCTGTATCTCTGTCTCTCTGGTGAGCGCACGCGTCCTATAGCAAAAATACAGATGAGAGAGAGACAGAGAAAAGATATGGCTTCCAAATCAATAGAAAAAAGAAAATGGAATAATACTCAACCGATCCAGTCACAGAGGTGCGGGTGCATTGCTGGAAGCCATGTGGGAAGGTCCCAGGTTCACGTCCTGGGTCTACCCGAAGGTGCTGGGTGCTTCCACGGGGACACGCTTGGTCCTGTCTGAGTGTAGGACCGGCGTGATGATCTCAGCATGAAGATCCTATCAAGAGTGCCTCTCTCTCTTTCAGAAATGAGTGAGTAACCTTAAAAAACACTCAGCTAATCCAAAAGAAGGCAGTAAGGAAGAGAAAGAAAAACATTGAGTAGGTGAAACAAGTGGAAAGTATAAAAGGTGGCAGAGTTAAATGTTTATTTATTTATTTAGAATTTTTTTTCCCCCTTAGGGAGTGTGAACTCATTGGAAAGAGCGAGAGACAGAGAAAGTGAGAGAGAAAGTGAGAAATCACCCCCAGGAGGGATGGCCATGCTGCAATCTCTTCTCCATTCTCTTCCCGGAATCTTGGGCAGGCACATACACACATGCTCCTGGTGTGAGTCTCAAGCCATCTGGTCTGGAACTTGAACTGCGGTCAGCCATGGAGGAGTCCAGCAACCTGATTGCTACACCATCTGCTGGCCCCAAATTAAACCTAAATATGAATGAATCTAATAGGTTAAGTGCCCCATTTTTGTCTACATTGACAGACTAGATTTAAAAAACAAATTAAGAATTATTTTATTTAACTTTATTTATTCAATTTATATTTGGTTAGAGAGGGACAGAATGAGAGAGACAGAGAAAGCGAGAAAGCAAGCCACCAGTCCAGGACTTGAACCACAGTTGGTCATGTGGGAGTCCCGAGTCCCCAAACATCACACCACCTGCCAGCCCCTGGATGGAAATTTAAAAATCAAAATCTAGGACCAGCAGGTGGCATAATGGCTACGTCACTGAACTCCCATGTAGTCGACCGCAGTTCAAGTCCTGGACCCGGTGGCTTAAACTCACGCCAGGCACATGTGCATGCGTGCCCAAGATCCCGAGAGGAGAATGGAGGAGAAGGGATTGCGTGTGGCCATCCCCTCCGGGGGGTGATTTCTCGCTTTCTGTCTCTCAGTCTTTCTATGTCTGGTGAGCACTTGCGCCCTATAGCAAAAACCTCTCAAAAAAAAAATCTAAAAATTAAATCTAATGATATAATATTTACAAAAGACCTATATGAAACATAAAGATATGGGTGTAAGAGAATAAAAGTGGAAAAATAGTATGCAAACACTATCAGAGTAAAACTGGTACAGCTATATTAGTATAAAATGAATCTTTAAGGCTAACAGTTTTATTAGTGATAAAGAGGGCCACATAATGATATGGTTTAACTCACACACATTCAAATGCATACATTTCTTTCTTTCTTCCTTCCTTCCTTTCTTTTTTTTTTTGCGGAGGTTTTTGCTATAGGGCGCATGCACTCTCCAGAAAGACAGAGAGACAGAAAGCGAGAAATCACCCCCGCAGGGGGGATGGTTATACTGAAATCCTCCTCCATTCTCCTCTCGGGATCTTGGGCATGCACACTCGCCCAGCCTGAGTTTAAGTCACTGGGTTCGGGACTTGAACCGCGGTTGACTACTTGGGAGTCCAGTGACATAGATGTATGTATAGATTAATATATTTGAATATATGCATACACCTTTATACACATGTCTATATGTATATAATAATACAGCTTCAAAATACGTAAAGCAAAAATTGACAGAAATACAGGGGGAAGTAGCAGATACACACAAACATATTGGGTGGTTTTGTTTGTTTTCTGCTATAGGGTATGTGTGCCCACCAGAGAGAGACAGAGGGAGAGAAAGTGGAAAATCACCCTGCATGGGGGATGGCCATGCTGCAGTCCCTTCTCCGTTCTCCCCAGGATCTGGGGCACACACACCTGTGATGTTTTTCAGTCCCCCCAAGTCTAGGACTTGAAATGTACCATTGGCCATGTGGGATCCAGCCACCTTAACCACCATTCCTCTGGCTGGCCCCATATTGGGCAATTTCAACACACTCTGTCAGTAATTGTTACAAGTAGACCAAAAGAAATCGGCAACCTGCAGGTGGTGTGATAGTTAAGGCGCTGGACACTCTTACATGGCCAACCATGGTTTGTATCACAGACCTGGTGGCTTGCTTTCTCACTTTCTCTCTCTCTCTCGCTCAGGTCAAATTAAAATAAAATAAAATAAATCAATGAATAAATAAAATAAATAATCCTTTAAAAAATCACAGTAAGGATATAGAGGATTTGAACAAAGTGATTAATGAACTTGATTGATGTATTTATAGAATACCACACCTAATAGTTGTAAAATCCCACTCTTCAAGAATACATGGAACATTTACAGAAGTCGACCTTACATTATCTCAATAAATCTCAAAGTCTCAATATATTCAAAGGATTTACATCAGTCACTGCAGAAACCTGCTATGAAAATATAGCTAGGAAATCTCATGTTTAGACACTAAGAAATAAACATTTAAATAATCTCTTTGCCAAATAAATCATATTGGTAATTAGGAGGTATTTGGATTTACTGTAATAAATTACTGTACATAAACATTTCTGAGCTAAAATAGTTCTTAAAGGAATATTTGTTGATTTAAATACATAGAGAAAAAGAAAGGTGAAAATTAATGGTATAAGCATCCTTCTTAAGAAGTTAGGACAGGGCCAGCAAGTGGTGTAGTGGTTAAGGCACTGGGCTTCCATGTGGCCAGTGGTGGTTCTAGTCCTGGACCCAGCAGCTTGAAACATGCCGGGTGTGTGTGCATGTGTGCCCCAAATCCCCAGGAGAGAATGGAGAAGAGATTGTGGTGTGGCCACTCCCCAGAGAGTGATTTCTCACTTTCTCTCTCTGTCTCTCTGTCGAATGCATGGGCCCTATAGCAAAAAAAAAAAAAAAGAAAAAAAAAACTCTCAAAAAAGAAAGAAGTTAGAATAAAGAATAGGAGGAATGAACTGATAAAGAACAGAAATGAATAATGGAATAGTAGAGCAAATTCAACAAATGCAAAAGTTTGATAAAAATGGATAAAATCTGGTAAGGGTGATCAAGGAAGAAAAAAGCAAAGTGGTACAAATATATAATATCGGGAAAGAGAAAGAGGCATCTCTACAGATGCCGAGTGTTTAACACGAGGCCGAAGAAGGTGGACGTTCACATGGAAAGGACAAGTCTATACAGAGTAGGAATAACCAGGGCATGTCTATGAAGTGCAAGAAAAATCAGAAAGAAAAAAAAAAAAGTAGTTCAGTAATTGTTAAATAAGTCAAACGAGTAATTCGAAACCTTGTGCAGAGAAAGTACCAGGCTCAAAGTTGGATAGACCCTTCAGAGCAGGGCGGTCCCCAGAACAGCAGCAGCAGCCTCACCCTCACCTCACTGAGGAACCTGTTAGAGCTGTCGATGGTTAGGTCTGCCACAGCTAGGAACAGAAACCTGGAAACCTGCTGTCTACACTAACACGCCCTCCAGGTAATGCTGATGCAGAGGGAGAGCCCCAGAGCTAGAATAGAACATTGAACATGGTGGGGATCTTCAAGGAAGACAGCACCAGGGAAGTGATTCGAACTGAGCTTTGAAAGGTATGTTTTCTATCCATGTGCACTTTTGCTACATACGAATCGTTCCCAGCACTTCCTTAGAGTGACTCAATCTATGGTGTGGAGCTGCCACCCTCCTTTCCTATCAAGATCTTGAAATCTTGACATCCTAAATCTGAGCCACTTCCACACGGCTTTGGAACCGCCTGGATCTAACTTACTGGGGGCAAAACAGAAGTTGTGGAAGTATCAAACTCCTGAAGCGAGTAAAAGCACTGGAAGAGGGCAGCCACCACCTGGTTTGCGCTTTTCTCTGGTAAATGGTGATGACCAACCAGAAATAAACTAATAGTGAAGGACCAATCAGAAAGGGTAGATGGTGAGCAGAAATTTCAAAATGTGAGGGCTGGGACCAGCAGTTAGCGCAATGGCTATGTGGCTGGACTCCCACGTAGTCGACCGTGGTTCGTGTCCCGGACCCAGTGGCTTAAACTCACGCCGGGCACATGTGCGTGCGTGCCCAAGATCCCGAGAGGAGAATGGAGGGGAAGGGATTGCGGCGTGACCATCCCCCTTAGGGGGGTGATTTCTCACTTTCTGTCTCTCTGTCTCTCTCTGTCTGTCTGTCGAGCGCACACGCCCTATAGCAAAAGCCTCTCAAGAAAAAAAAAAAAATGAGAGGGCTTCCTGTCGCCTTTCTTTCATGTTCCTTTCATCCACTCTCCTCCCTTCGCCACTTCAGGATCCTGCAGAGCTCTGACGAAGATATTTCCTTTCTGAGCAGCATTTTCATTTTAGCAGGGCACTTCTGGATAATGGGAAACCTTTAAGTCATAAAGGAGTTTCTAATGTGGCAGTTCAGTGGGTAAAACCAAGTAAGAAGAAGATAGGGGGTTCAGACTTGGGTAAAATGAAAACAAACAAACGTGGGAAAGAATTCAAAAGAGTGTAATACATTTTTACTAAATGATCATTCTAGTCCACTGACATACCTTTGACCTATCATTACTGTTGTAGTAATACAAAACAGCTGTATGACTTAGAAAGGGAGAAGGACCTTTCCCTGCTACGAAGTATATTGCGGACCTGGAAACAGATTAAAGCCCTTCGGCAGCGGCAGGAGTTTACGAGCACCCCAATAAAGTTACAGTTTCAGAGGTAAGCGGCTGCTCTGCTTGTTCTTATAGGTCTCGGGAAGAGCCCATAAATAACGGGGAATTCACAGTAACTGGGAAGAAATCCAGAAGCCGGATGACTGTTTTATGTAGTCAACAAATTTATTTTGAATATATAAACAGTTCTTACAACTTAAGACACCCAACTAAAAAATGGGCAAAGTATCTGAACAGACATCTCACTAAAGAAGGTATAAAGATCGCAAATGAACACATGGAAGACTGTTCAGCATCATGCTATCTCTAGAGAAGTGCAAATGAAAACCACAAGGAAGCACGACTGTACACCTATCAGAAGGGCTAGAATCCAAAACTAAAAAGAAAAAGAAAACAGTCACCAGCACTGGCAAGGAGGCTGAGCAACAGAGATGTTGATTCCCTGCCGTGGGGAATGCAAAATGGTACGGCCACCTTGGAAACACGTGGCACTGTTTTTTGTCTTTTGCCATAAGGCACGTGCGCTCACCAGAGAAACAGAGAGAGCGTGAAATCGCTCCCCAGGGGGCATGGCCACACCGCAATCCCTCTGCCATTCTCCTGGAGGGATTTTGGGCATGCACACACACGCGCCTGGCATGAGTTTCAAGCTGCCGGATCCAGGATTCAAACCATGTCAGCCACATGGGAGTTCAGTGACATAAATCTTACACCATCTGCTGCTGGTCCTTATATTCTTTTAAACTTAAAGATTACTCTATGAATTTTAAGTACATAAAGTACAAATTTTACATGCACAATGTTTAAAACACAGGTATATCTTTTCACATCAGGAAAATTACCACCTACATCAAGCTATTGAGTATTTACATGTGAATGCTATGCTACTTACTGCATGGTCTCTAAAATGCCTTGTTACATGCTTGGATGCTAATAAAGTTATACTCTATGTCTATGGCTTAGTTTCCATGATCTTTAAATGCTTTTATCCTGTTTTATATAAATCAGAGCACCCTAGGTTATGTATGGGTTTCTGAACCAATACAAATCTTTTTTATGGAGATACTCAAACAGTTCATGAGTATAACTCATCTGTACCTCTGCCAATCTATTTCGTGCTAATTTTATGCTTCTTTTTATGCTTCCTTTATTTTGCTACATTTTGTATTTTCACCACTTCCTTTCTAATCCAAAAAAATGGGGACTGGCAGTTAGCATAATGGCTATGTCACTGGACTCCCACGTAGTCGACCGCGGTTGGAGTCCCAGACCCGATGGCTTAAACTCATGCCAGGCGCGTGTGTGTGTGCATGCCCAAGATCCCGAGAGGAGAATGGAGGAGAAGGGATTGCGGCGTGACCATCCCCCCTGGGGGGTGATTGCTCGCTTTCTGTCTCTATGTCTCTCTCTGTCTGTCTGGCGAGCGCACACTCCCTATAGCAAACATCTCTCAAAATAAAATGGATGTACATATTCTATTTTTGTTAAGACATATCTCAATGTCAAATTTATTTGTAGGAACTATCAAATGACACAGAAAATGTGTTTTTTTCTCCATGCAACATGTACACAAAACAAGGTTTTGTCCATCCCTTGCATAACCAGTGATTTGAAAGTTTTGTTTACTATCGGCATTAACATTGTGGGTGATCTTGCTGCCTTTTTCCTTCTATAATTAGAAATAAGGTAAATAAAAGCGTGCCAGCTGCTTTCTCCAGTTTCCTCAGGTTAACATTTGAAATGCCTTCACTAGCCCTGAAGTGGCAAAACACTTTCATCGTACTTATGTTTAGTTTAAGAACATGCATATCGGGACCAGCAGTTAGTGTAATGGCTATGTTGCTGGACTCCTGCGTAGTCGACCGCGGTTCGCGTCCCGGACCCGGTGGCTCAAAACTCACGCCGGGCACATGTGCGTGTATGCCCAAGATCCTGAGAGGAGAATGGAGGAGAAGGGATTGCGGCATGGCCATCCCCCCTGGGGGATTTCTCACTTTCTGTCTCTCTGTCTTTCTCTGTCTGGCGAGTGCACGCGCCCTGTAGTGAAAACCTCTCAAAAAAAAAAAAAAAAGAACATGCATATCTTTATCTACACTACATACTAAGAATAAAGCAGTATTTATTTGTACAACATACTGAACATTTGGCATGCCTTTTCATGGTTTAAAACTCTATAAACTAAAATTTTAGACCCAACTTACAAATCTATTTGTTTATATACCAGTTTTTATCACCTCGTATATAACAATTTAAACTTCATGCTCCTTAACTAGTTGTAATGCTTTAGTGTTTTTTCATACAATTGCCTCCCCACTCCATTTATTTTGACTCCTGTCCTCTACTGGGTGCAGTACATCATGCAGCAGAGTGTTCAGGGAAGGTCCTTGGTTGATACTACTTTCGTAAACCCTGCACGTCTGAAAATATCTCCCAGTTACCGTCACAGAGAAATCATAATTTGGCAAGGTATACAATTCCTGGCTCCCAATGATTTTTCCTTAAGACTCTGTAGATACTGTTCCATTGTCTTCTAGCATTTGGAGTTACAAGAGAAAAAAAATCTGAGGTCAGCTTGACTTTTACCCTTTACAGGTGACCTGTTTATTCCTGCCTGGATATTTGTAAAAACTTTTTTTTCCTTGAAATTTAAAAACATTATTAGGATATATCTACTTGTTACTTTCTTTTTGTCAAATTTTAAAGGTATTCTGTTAGCGTTTTCCTTTTGTAGATCAAGTTCATTTTTCAACTCTGGGAAATTTTCTTCAGTTATTTCCTTAATCATTGTTTCAGCTCCTTATTTTGTCTTCTGTTACAGATAGCCTAATTATGCGTAGATTGTATCTCTTGGTCTCTCCTTGTCTTCTCTTCTCTGATCATGGTTAGTTTCGCCCTTTCTCTTCATTCTGGGAGAATGTCTCTCGTTTTGCGTTTACTTCAGTAATACGATTTTGTGGCCAGTCGGCCTTGCCCATTTCTGTTAACTCTCTCAATTCCCCGATTCATTCCAAGCGCCCTGACAGTACCTTCTCTATCATGAGCACAGGTGTTTAAACACTGGGCCATATGATAGTCAATTCTTTCTAAATCTTCTGTTTCCACCGTCATATCAATGTCTCCTGTTTCAAAAGGAGACATTTTAGTTAGACTTTTTTTTTTTTTTTTTAAAGGATTTTGCCATAGGGCGTGTGTGCTCACTGATAGAGACAGACACAGTGAGAGGGAAAGTGAGAAATCTCCCCCGCCCAGAGGAAGTGGCCATGCAACAGCCCCTTTTCTTCCATTCTCCTCCCAAGATCTTGGGCACATATGCACACGTGCCTGTCATGAGTTTCAAGCCACCAGGTCTGGGACTTGAACCATGATCAGCCACATGGGAGTCTAGCAACATAACCACTATGCCATCTGCCCACCCCCTGCAGTGATTTTCAATAAAAGTGCTAGTTACAGTTTCTAACCTAAGCCCAGCACGGAACTTTGTCCATCTTAGACTCCTAAATAATTGCAAACTTGATGACTTGCCCCTAGCCCCGTGAACAAACCTGGCATGTTCATGTATAGTAACCCTGAGCAGGTGAAGAGCTACAGGTACTATCAAGTCCCGGCTGTCAGAGGCTGTCACACTGCCATTCTCCACCAACTCTCATTCCCGCTACTGTGACCGCTATCCCATCTGAGGCCCTTCCCATTTATTCTTCCCGACATCTCATGGTCAACTCTCCCAGAGGACCTTGGCTTGGATTTGGTTCCCAGACTGGCTCTAATTGGAGACCTCTGAGCTAACGCCCACAGGGTCGGTGACCAGGTTGACTCTGGCAAGGCTGGCCCTAGAATCCCTAAATTAGGGCATTTGGTAAAGCATCACTGTATCAACTAGAAAAACTGCATGTTGGAAGATGCTTCCTGGCCGAGTTCACCACTAGTGACCTCGCGACAGGCCTGGTCCTGTGAACCCGAGCTGAATAAACTTGAACCAGGCCTCCAGGATACACAGTACTCATGACAAGACGGTGCGGGACCCAGGTCCTGAGTTCAGACATCTTCTCTTTACGCATTTGCTCTGGGGCATATTGATTTTGACACGTCTTTGGGATATCCCTAAGTAAAGCTGAGTCTCCTGTATTAGACAGAAGAACATGAACGTCCGTGGCATGGTAGCCATAACAGAAGCTATGTGTGCACGGGACGGCTTAGCGAGAGGGTAGACAGTGAGAGCAGAGGGCCAGGGGCCGGGCCTGGAGAAGCTGCCGTGAATGGCTTCGCAGAGTCGAACCTAAGGAGGGCAGAGGAGCTGCAGTTAGTGTTTTCCCACTGAGGCAAAGAGAAGGGAGTCTTTAAAGCGGGAAGGGGTGGTTAACAGTGTTCGATGGGTGTGGAAGGCCAGCTGAGTGTGAAACGTTCATTGACTTTTCTCACTGAAGATTACTGGTAACCTTAGCAAGAGTAGGTTTAATAAAGTGACCGTGGCAGAAATGAAGTAACAGGAAACTGAGAATATGCCGTCCTCTCATTCAGTGACCTGTCCTTGTCAGATGTTAGCAACACGGCAGCGAGCTCAGAGAAACCGGCTGGGGAAGAAGCTGCACACCACACCCTTCTCGTCACTGAGCCCAAAGCCCCGCACCAGAAGTTGGCATAGAAAACCCGGATTTCTGAGGCCGGCTTCACCTGTGCTCTCTGTGAGGCACTGCCTACCTCTGCCTGCCTGGAGACGGTTCAGAAAACTCAACACACAGGAGGAGGCCACTGACCCACTTCCCTGCCTCAGTGACCCGCCCCCACAGGGACGCCCGTATAACAGCCACGTTCCAAGTTACGATGACGTTACTGTACATTGGAATCACCTGGGAGTTTTGGGTTTTGTTTTTTTAAGACAGATTTTTGCTATAGGTGGGTGTGCTTGCCAGAGACACAGAGACAGAGAGACAGTAAGAAATGACCCCTGGGGATATGGCCACACCAGAATCCCTTCTCCTCCATTCTCCTCTCAGGATTTTGGGCACACGTGCCTGGTGTGAGTTTCAAGCCTCCCAGGCCAGGACTAGAACTGAGGTCAGCCATGTGATAATCTATGCATGGTTACATTACTCCATCTGCTGGTCCAAGAATTTCCCTCTTAAATGATTAAAATTTAAAAACAAAACTTTGTACTGAAAAGAGCAAACCCTTGGGACCAGCAGTTGGTGTAATGGCTATGCCACTGGACTCTCATGTAGTCGACCATGGTTCGGGTCCTGGACCCGGTGGCTTAAACTCACACTGGGTGCATGTGCGTGTGTGCCCAAGATCCCGAGCGGAGAATGGAGGAGAAGGGATTGTGGCGTGGCCATCCCCCCTGGGGAGAGATTTCTTTCTTTTTCTCTCTCTGTCTGTCTCTGTCTCTCTGGCAAGTGCACATACCCTATAGAAAAATCTGCCTTAAAAAATTTTTTTTTTAAAAAAAGAACAAACCCTTGGGAACCAGCAGTTAGCGTAATGGCTATGTCACTGGACTCCCACGTAGTCGACCGCGGTTCGTGTCCCGGACCCGGTGGCTTAAAACTCACGCCGGGCGCGTGTGCGTGCGTGCCCAAGATCCCAAGAGGAGAATGGAGGAGAAGGGATTGCGGCGTGACCATCCCCCCTGGGGGGTGATTTCTCGCTTTCTGTCTCTATGTCTCTCTCTGTCTGTCTGGCGAGCGCACGCGCCCTACAGTGAAAATCTCTCCAAAAAAAGAAAAAAAAAAAAGAACAAACCCTTAAAGCCATCAGAAAACTCAACTCCTAGATTGATTTTTTTTCCTGAAAGGGTTCCAGATAACAGGGGTTTTGTTGAACTACTAATGAAAGAGGCATAATGATGGCGCCTGCTTCCCAGGGTGGTGAGAACGCAATGCGTTGCTGTGTGAAGTCCTTGGAACGGTGCCTGCCATGCTGGTGGAAGGTCCCGTGCGAGAGCTGGCAGCAGGCCTGGTGCCGTGTCGCCGGCTGCTGGTGGAAGGTCCCGTGCGAGAGCTGGCAGCAGGCCTGGTGCCGTGTCGCCGGCTGCTTACCGTTCGTCCATAAACACGAGGAGGGCGGCGCGATTTATCCCAGGGAATGCTGCGGCCGCTGCCCTTCCACCTGCTCACGTCCTCACGGCTCACAGAACGGGAGAGGAGGAAAGGAGAGGGAGCATGAATAGACCTTTTAGTTTATATCTGCTGTTCCCCCGGTTACCTGTTCTCACCAGAGGAAATGTTTGTTGATGCCTTTAGGAAAGGCTGGACATTCTCACGGTAAATTTAAAGTCATGGAGACTGAGAACAGGCTTATGAATGTTTGGGTGTGTATCAGATTGAAGACTTCCACAGGCTGTGAAATTATCGTTATAAGATACTGTGTGTGTATGTGTGTTTTCACAAGACCTCCGACAGGTCCTCGAATACCGCCCTTATTTCCACGTTAAGTAATCCTGTTCTTTCTATTTAATCAGGCTAAAAATGAAGAGACGTGACAAGCAGGGACAAGAACAAATGTCGAAGATGTCTGAGACTGAGAAAGAGACGGAAGGAAAAGCACTTATGAGTGGGGAAAGCCAGGAGGTATTAGTCTAGAAAATAACGTTTAATATTTCACTGTAAAATAGAAAATCTTGATTTTATTTCAGAGAGATTTTTGCTATAGGGTGTGGGTGCTTGCCAGAGAGACAAAAACCAAGAAATCACCCCCCAGAAGGGATGGCCATGCCACTATCCCTTCTCCTTCATTCTCCTCTTGAGATTTTGGACATGCACGCACATGCACCCGGTGTGAGTCTCGAGCCGTGGTCGCCCACATGGGAGTCCAGTCACGTAACCATTACTCCATCTGCTGGTCCTGGAAATCTTGATATTTGTAAGTTACCCAACAAGTGGCAAATATATGACATAAACGTTTAATTTCAAGAATAATCATCCAAAGGGCCAGGCAGTGACACAGTGGTGAAATGGGACTCCGCAAGGCTGACCCACCTGGGCGGGCTCCGGGTTCCCGGCTGGAGACCTCCCTGAGTGTTTTGGGCACACTGCGCCCGCCATGGGGGGCTGCTGAGAGGAGCGACGTCATAGTGTCCGGACCCTGTTGGAGCTGCTGTCTCCCTGTCCTTTCTCTGTCCCTTTTGCTCATGAAAGAAATAAACTTAAAAAAAAAAAAAAAAAAAAAAAAAGTCCTGGTCCCTGCTGTGGTGGCACAGTGGTGGGGCTCTGCTCTGCAGTGCCGGAGGTCATAGGGAAGATCGCGGTTTGGTTCCTGGGTCAACCTGTGTACACCGTGTGTGCATACGTGTGCCTGTAATCCTGGAGAGCTGGGAAGGCTAGGAGGAGGATGGCAGTGTGAGACCCTGCCAGGGGTGCTCCTCTCTCTCTCTCTCTCATTCAGTAAATCAGCTTTAAGGAAAGAAGACATGCCCTAGAGCTCAGCTGCTAGGAACATGCCACTTTGATGCTGCTGCTTTGAGGCTGAGGCCACCTGGGAGGCTCAGGGCCAGTTCTTAGCCTGACCTAACCAGGCCAGACGGGATGCGTGCCCGTGTGGTCTAGCTAACGGAGGCTGGGGCGGGAGGATCGGGGCACGGCGACACCTGTCAAAACCTCTCCAAATCAGTAAATAATTCTTTTAGAAGGCCCAGCCATGGTGGCACAGGCAATAGGGTACTGATGGGTGATACTGGAGCCATGTGGGGACTCTCAGGGTTCAGATCCCAGGCTGACCTGAATATGTTGGGCTCACCTTTGACCCTGGCTGGCTGGAAGCCTGGGGTGAGGGTCCTGTGTGACAGCATCTTGTCAGGGGGTTTCTCTTATGAAAGAAAGAAATCGTTTTCGGAGGCTAATTGTCCTAGACAACGAACGTGCATGGTAAATTACATATTTATTTTTTGTTCCCTAGAGCCTGTCATGTTCAGTATCAGAACCTGAAGAAACAGGAATGGAAAGAATAAAGCCAATTACCTTGGCCCCCCAACTTTTTTTCACTGCAGAATTAACAAACTTATCCAAATGTTCCTTGTAAGCATTTTGAATAATTTTTCCTTGTTATATGTTGTCTATTAATTGCATTGTTTTAATAATAACGTTAGATTTCTTTAGTGAACACTATATGCCAGGAACTCAGCTAAGTTTTGTTTAGTTTAGTTTTTCATTTTTGCTGTGGGGTGTGTGCACTCACTAGAGAGAGTCCAAGAGAGGGAAAGTGAGAAATCAACCCCTAGAGGGGATAGCCATGCCACAGTCTCTGCTCCTCCATCCTCCTCCTGGGATTTCGGACACACATATGCATCCAGCATGTTTTTCAAGTTGCCAGGTGTGGGGTTTGAACAGCTCAAGTTGGCCATGTGGGATCCAGCTGCCTTAACCACCATGCCACCTGCTGGCCCAATCAGTCTTTCTGGTTTGCCACGGTCGTGATTTTGTTCAAAGTATAGATGGGTGGGATATAAAGCTAGTATGAAAATAAGATTTTCCCATCACCTTCGTTTGTTAAAGGACCCCTGGCTCTCATAAAGGCGGTCCGCCATGGAGAGGGCCTTCTGACCATGTCCTTCTTTTTTCTTTTTCTTTCTGTTTTTTTCCTATAAGGCGCGTGCGCTCGCCAGAGAGAGAGAGACAGAGAGATAAAAAGCAAGAAATCACGCCCCAGGGGGGATGGCCACACCACAATCCCTTCTCCTCCATTCTCCTCTCAGGATCTTGAGCACGCACGCACACGCGCCTGGCATGAGTTTTAAGTCACCGGGTCCGGGATGCGAACCGCAGTCGACTACGTGGGAGTCCAGCGACATAGCCATTACGCTAACTGCTGGTCCCATTCATGATACAGACTTTGTTTCCTCCCGGGTGGGACTTCTTCCTTGAGTTACGCTGTTTCCTTCTCACATTCAGGCCATTATGCAAAATAGGCACTAGGCTTTAACCTACTTCTCCCATTTAGTAGGCCTATTCGTCCCACTTCCCGCAAAGAGAATATGACCATTTAGAACAAGGAAATAGGTCCAGCTTTTAAACATCACTGTCCCATGGGAAGCTTCCTCTCAGTCCACCTCCTACAGTAGTGTTCTCAACATGCATGGTTTCACCCACGTGTCAGGACTCGGTGGGAACCCCGCCAGTGTATTTGTTAGGTGAATTAATGGATGTTTACATTTTAAGACAAACATAGAGAACAGCAGACATAAAGGCTGAATTATTATTACCCCTTTTCTGACCAGAGAAGTGCAGCAGGGAAGCAATCCTTTATTTGTTCGTTATCTCCTTCTGAAAAGGGCCTAAGGGCTGGCCGATGGCCTGGGGGTTAAGGGAGCAGGAGTGCACATGGCCAACTGCTCAGTTCAAGCCCTAGACCCGGCAGCTTGGAACACACACCAGGCCCGTGTGTGCCTGCTCAAATCCCGAAAGGCAGGGGAACGGAGAACGGGTCACAGTGTGACCATTCCCCGTGGGGTTCTTTCTGTCTCTCTCTGTCTTCCTCTCTGTCTCTCTAGTAAGTACATGCACCTTCTGACAGATTACAGAAGATGGGGGAGGGGATTGAGAGAATTTTTTATGTAAGACACATACAAAAAGACCATATAAATGAGGGTAAGAAAACGAGATCCGACAGGGAAGTTGGAGGGAACTAAGAGAAAGAAGAGGAGGAAGAGGTGTGTGTGGGCAAACCTAGACTGAGACGTAGTGGAAGCCTAGGCAATAGGAAGTGAGGTGCTTCATGTCCTTCTGAGACATTGCCATCTGGCAGTGTTGCCTCCGCGTGTTATCCGTACAAAGCATCCAGGGGGATAAAAGTGGACTCTCTAGAAAAGATGGTTCTGTTGATATTAAGGACTGCGATGAAAGGAATACAAAGGCTAATACAGAACAGTGAGGGGCTAGCCTGAGGTCCGGCCCGAGGCAGCTGGAGCCCACATGGCTGACCGCGTGGTTTGAATCCTGGATCTAGCAGCTTGAAAAACACGCCAGGTACATGTGCACGTGTGCCCAAAGTCCCGCAAGGAGAGAGGGATGGAGGAGAAGGGGCCGCAGCAGGACCGCGGCACATGGGGGTTCTTTATTTTCCCTTTCTCTGTGGCCAGTGCAAGCGCCCTCTGGTGAAATTAGGGAAAAGAAATCCGAAGTTTACCAGCGACGAAAAGGCAAGATTTCCTGAAGGTGGACACAATCCCAAATCAACACATTTTCATAATCAGTTCATGAGCTTCTTGTTTAAACGACATTTCGAGGGCAGCATGAAGGACAACTTTCTATAGTTTCCTCTGAAGTTAATTAGGAGGAGAGTCAGAGAGGCCAACGGGGAGATGGGAAGAGTCAGTAATCCTTGGTCCCCTAATTTCTGCAAAGGTTACAGAAAAGTTGGGCAGATAATGGGGCAGGGAAATACTGGGCCATAGGCTGGCTAGGGTGGGGACCAGAGGGGGTTTCCGTTTCAGCCTACGGCTTCCCTCCAACCAGTCCTCTCCCTCTGACAGAGAAGCCAAGGCGTGAACATCACGGGCCAGTTGCCTGACAGCCGAGGGGATGCTCAGAACATGTCAGTCGGGTGAACGGGTGGGTGGGTGGAAGACACTCCGGAAGAGTTTCAGATCATGCAGGGGATCGGTTTGCCCCCCGCGAGCGTCTCCACAGACGCCCCAGGGAAGTTACCTGGCTTGCCTTTCTGATCTTTGGGTTCAGACAAAGAATGGCTTCCCTTGTGTCCTGCAGAAAAGGGGAACACAGACTGAAAGTGCAAGGATTTACGGAGGCCTTCAAGGGACACAGCACACCTATTTCCTTAGATGCGCATCCTTGAATTTATTGAAAATATAGTGCGTGTGCATGCGGGTGTCTTTTAAAACTTAGAAAGTATTCTTGAATTCTTGGTTCAAGGCCCTCCTACCATGTCCAAGTCCCTCAGTTTTCTCCTCTCATGAAACGTTTGGTGAGTAAGTGCTCTAATCTCTTCAGGTTATAATTTATTAGAATAAATAGCCAAGTGATTTATAGTATCTTGGTTTTCGTCATTTTTTATTTCTTAATATATATCTTCCTGTAAAAGCATCGACTGAGGAGAAACGTACCCACTTATAGGCAGATGCTATTTGGCTTAAAGATCTCCTTTGTCCTCTAAAACTTTCAGAACATCTTCTTTGTGACACGCTAAGGTACATCTTGAAAAGGACAATATTTTATTTCCTTCCTGCTTTTCAAGGGTCGCTTAAAGGCTTATTTCATTTTTAGGCATGAACAAAAGAGGAGAGCCAAAATCCAGAAGCTCAAGTATTTTATTAAAATATTTTACAACGACAAACAGGTTTCTTGCACTTCAGTGTCTCCCCTGCAATTTGATTTTAAAGTCATGTTTCAGCAGATTTTCAATATTCAGTTACTATATTGGCCTGAGACGATTCGCTTGGAGGTATGCCATTGTCATTTAGTTTTGTATCTTATTTTATGCCATACGTAATCTTAAATTTCTTGTTATTCACTGTTACATGTAATAAGTAATTTCTTTTCTATTAAGCATCGACTGACCTCTATGAGCAGGCAATACTTTTATAATTCATAAATTTATAATTCATTGATAATCTTTAATGCCGCAAGTACAAACTTTCTTGATTTGTGTTTGTTCCAAACACTTCTAGAATTCCTGCCGACCGTGGATATGCAGCATTATTCATTCATAAGTGAGGCGGAAGAGGGTTGTTGAAAGTAGCAAAGCTATTTTAAGTTTTGAATAATTTCTCCAAATTGCCTGAGTCCTGACTGGAGGTTTCAGACTCTTTTATTTGTTCACTATGTCTTATTTTTAAGTATGGATCCTTTTAAGAATCAGATGAGGGGCCAGCAGGTGGCATGTTGGTTAGGGTGCCGGACTCCCACATGGTTTGAGTCCTGGACCCAGTGGCTTGCTTTCTTACTTTCCTTCTCTCTTTCTCTGGTGAGTGCACATGCCTTATACAAATTAAAAAATAAGAATCGGGGCCAGTAGGTGGCATAATGGTTAAAGCACTGAACTCCTACTTGACCAGCTGTGGTTCGAGTCCTGGGCCTGGTGACTTGAAACATATGCCAGGCACAGGTGCATGTGTGCCCAAAGGCCAGGAGGTGAATGGAGAAGAGGGGATTTCACTGTAGCCATCCCCCCGGGGTGATTTCTCACTTTCTCTCTCACTATCTCTCTCTGGCAAATGTATGCAGTCTATAAATTAATTTATAAGGCAAAAACTTTATAAATTAATGAAAAAGTAAAATTTTTAAAAATATAAGATGAAAGAATATACAAATAATAAATCCCTGGTTCTTGTCCAAAGACCCCACTCACCATAAGAACTCCTGCAGTTCAGGAAGAAAAAAAAGAGCATGATGAGGAAAAATCAGGGATTATATAAGAGTCTAGAAAAGTCCTGATGTTACTATAGGGCTTAAACTTGAAGCTAGAATGAAAGAAAAGTTAGGGGAGAATAAAGATTTGTGTGTGTGAGTCTGAGGAGAAGAGGACTATAGTTAAAAACCTAAAATAAAAATTATTTTTAAAATACCTAAAATAATTGTATTCCCTCCCCGATAGATGTTCCATGCATTGTCCATTTGTTCAAGTTCTTACCATCTTATGATGTCTCTGTTGAAACTCCTAGTTTAAAAAATATGTTTGTGGACCAGCAGATGGCATAATGGTTACGTCACTGGACTCCCATGTGGTCGACTGCAGTTTGAATCTCGGACCCAGCAGCTTAAACTCACACCAGGCCCGTGTGCATGCATGCCCAAAATCCCAAGAGGAGAATGGAGGAGAAGGGATTGCAGCGTTGCCAACCACCCCCCCCGGGGGGTGGTTTCTTGCTTTCTATCTCTCTCTCTCTCTCTCTTTCTGGTGAGCACACATACTCTATAGCAAAAACCGCTCCAAAAAAGAAAAAAAAAAATTATATGTTTGCTAGCCTTTCCTTCGATTGTACCTAAACTAAACTGAGATAATAACCAACCATTCGAAGTTTAAAATCTTCTTTCCAAGTAGGTAAATGTGAATTTGGAGCCCTTCCTCATCCCATCCCTTAGCATGATCCTGAGGAACTTCAGCAGCAGGGAGAGAGAATCTAGTTAGAGACCAGCTGCACCATGAGCAGCTGCAGAATTTGCAAAGTAAATCTCCATGTCCTAGTCTGACAGATTCTAACCTGCATTTTATTTATTTATTTTTTGAGAGATTTTTTGCTATAAGGTATGTGTGCTTGCCAGAGAAACAGAGAGACAGAAAGTAAGACATCTCCCCCTGGAGGGATGGCCATGCCACAATCTCTTCTCCCAGGATCTTGGGCATGCACGCGTACTCACCCAGTGTGAGTTTGAAGCCACCGGGTCTAGGCCTCGAGATGCTGTCGGGTCTGTGGAGTCCAGCCATGTAACCACTACACCATTACTGGCCCATCTAACCTGCATTTCTCACTCATTTCCCCAATCCTCTTTACTCGTACTCATTCCTCACCTTGGCCCAACTGAACTGCTTGTCCTGTCCCACACAGCCTTACACTTCCGCACCTCTGGGCTTCCTCATGTTCTAGTTGCCACTTACACAGTTTATTTCATAAGTGACACTTTTCAAAACGCTCCGCCTCAGCTACACCGTGGTGTCTGTAGCTGCCGTCACGGAGGACAAGGCTGTCTCCTGGGAGACCTCGCAGGTGTCTTCTCTACCAGCACGTTGGCCATTATCCAGGCTCTGGCCTCCTGCCAGCAGCCTCAGAACCTGGGCTTGGCAGTCCCTTCAGAACACATCTACAGACCCTAAGCAAATTCACAAGGCCGACCTGGAAAACCAGAATGCCAATTCGACATTTGAATATTGGGGGAGGAGAGACAGGCCTTCAATAAGTCCATGGAAATGCATAGTGTGAAGGCACTACGAATTCACATTCAAACTATGATTTCAATTTTTTGAAGCGAAATCAATTCATACTTTAATTCCATTTTCATGAACTTTTTGAAGTCCCCTCACATAGTTATCAGTTAATTTTCTCCTTTTTTTTTTTTTTTTTTTTTTTGTTTTGGGGAGATTGTTGTTTTTCTTTTTTTTTTTTTTTTTTTTTTTTGCTTTGGAGAGATTTTTGCTATAGGGCATGTACACTCACTGGAGAGACAGACAGAAAGCAAGAAATCACCCCCAAAGGGGAATGGCCACACCACAGTCCCTTCTCCTCCATTCTCCTCTCAGGATTTTGGACACTCACGCACATGTGCCCGACATGAGTTTCAAGCCACCTGGTCCAGGACTCGAACCACAGTCAACCATGTGGGAGTCCAGTAATGTAACCATTATGCCATCTGCTGGGCCACTTTTCACCTTTTAATTAGCCAGTTTACTGATCTATAATAGGACATTTCTTTCACAGACTTACAACTCCTACCAAGCTTTCTACATTAGGGATGTCTTTGTGGAAGTGACCAGTATGTCGGCTGAAGTTCACTGTTACAAGGAAGTATTTAGATAACCAGAAAAAATATTTGCCTTTTTAGTTTCCCTTTTCTTTGCCTTTTTTTGCTAATCGGCAACCCTTTGGATTGGCACATTCTTGATTAAGTTTCAGGGGCTATTTTTCCTCTCGACTTCCTTCTTAGAGTGCACATCACTGTTTCTGCAAGCACTGACAACACAATATAGGTCAAAATAAGCCTTTTCTTTTCTTTCTTTCTTTCTTTTTCTTTCTTTTTTTTTTTTTTTTTTTTTTTGAGAGTTTTTTTTTACTATAGGGTGGGTGTGCTTGCCAAAGAGACAGAGGGACAAAAAGTGAGAAATCCTCCCCCCACCCCCGGGAGGATGACAACGCCACAATCCCTTCTGCCCCTCTCAGGATTTGAGGAGCACATGTACACGTACGGACCCAGTGTATTTCAAGCCACCTGGTCCAAGATTCGAACTGTGGTTCACCATGTGGGAGTCCAGCACCTCAACCACTATGCCACCTGCTGGCCCGCCACTGCTCTTAACAAAATCGCATTGCCATTCTCTAACCTCCAGTTGCCATCCTTCTGAGCTATCCTCATTTAGGCCCTGAGACAACACTAGCATATTTGTGCAACATGGAAAACTGGGAAGAACCCCGAGTACAGGATACTGCAGTCATTGGTGCACGACAGTCACTTTGACAAGCATTTTGCTGAGCAACATATGATCAATCACCAATGATCTTGGTAGTATCTCCAGAGGGGTGAGTGAGACTTGGAGTGTGTCTTGAGAAAGGAGGTAGGTGAGTGCAGGGAGAATTTGATATTCTTTTATAGCACTTCCATTTCTTGCATTGTGACTACGTATGTTTCTTATATAACTTAAAATAAAAAGAATGTAAAGTGATTTCTAAAAATTAGAATAAAGCGATGATCATGAATGGCAGCAGTGTCCTCGGGCCCCAGGAATTTGCTGCCCGTTGTTCTCAGCAGTAAGACTGAGGAGTGGCAAGCCAGAAGGGAGGTGGGTATAAATGGACAGCCCAGGTCAAGTAGCTCCTGCCACCTGTGTCAATGCCAATGGCATCACCAGCCACTCTCTCGC